AAGAAATCGAAAAGCAGAAATCAAGTCAACAATGAATACGAACTTTCAAAATATTTCTAAAAGGGAACGAAGTATCAAAAAAATGAAGAAAAAAAAGTAAAAAACGAACGTAACTTCTTAATCAAATCTAAACATACAATTGCTTAGGTATAAATGAAGAATGAAATTAAAAATGAGTGCAAGAAAAAAAAAAGAAAAGAAAAGAAAAAAAAAAAAAAAAAAAAAAAAAAAAAAAAAAATATATATATATATATATATATATATATATATATATATATATATATATATATATATAGAGAGTGCAATTTCTAAACGCATACACGAACGCAGTATTCCCCCCAAAAAATTACACATACTCATGCGTTTTCAAAGAAGAAAAAAAGAGAGAAGGGGATAAAACGAAGGGAGGGGGGGGATAAGAAAAAGGGAAGGGAGGGGGGGACAAAAAAGAAACAGCACCCCCTCCCCCCTCTTCGTCTCCTGAAGCCAACCGGAAGCCCCAAAGGTGACTGACGGAAGCTCTTAAGTAATCTCAAACCCAGTGGTTGCTGCCCTGTAATCACTGCATATTTCAAGTGCGAAGTGAGTGCTATTAAGTCATCTACTCTTTCCTTTTTCTGCTCTATTTCCCTTCTTTTATTCCTGTCTGTCTATGTCTGTCTGTAACTGTCTGTATCTGTCTGTAACTGTCTATCTGTATCTGTCTATCTGTCTGTCTGTAACTATCTATCTGTCTGTCTATGTCTGTCTGTAACTGTCTGTCTGTCTGTCTATGTCTGTCTGTAACTGTCTGTCTGTCTGTCTATGTCTGTCTGTAACTGTCTGTCTGTCTGTCTATGTCTGTCTGTAACTGTCTGTCTGTCTGTCTATGTCTGTCTGTAACTGTCTGTCTGTCTGTCTATGTCTGTCTGTAACTGTCTGTCTGTCTGTCTATGTCTGTCTGTAACTGTCTGTCTGTCTGTCTATGTCTGTCTGTAACTGTCTGTCTGTCTGTCTATGTCTGTCTGTAACTGTCTGTCTGTCTGTCTATGTCTGTCTGTAACTGTCTGTCTGTCTGTCTATGTCTGTCTGTAACTGTCTGTCTGTCTGTCTATGTCTGTCTGTAACTGTCTGTCTGTCTGTCTATGTCTGTCTGTAACTGTCTGTCTGTCTGTCTATGTCTGTCTGTAACTGTCTGTCTGTCTGTCTATGTCTGTCTGTAACTGTCTGTCTGTCTGTCTATGTCTGTCTGTAACTGTC